GATCCTATATTTCCTTACTTTCAACAATCGTTTCACGGAATCCAAAATGAAAGCTAAATTAAGCGCTAAAGGCCAAGGAATTTACACAGCTCACGAAAGTGATAGCTGAATACAACTCTGAATGCCGTGGGATCAAAAAATACAGTATAGATTTCTAGCTATACTGTCACAAATTTGTTCCTTTATTTTTAGTTGTGGTGAGTCTCCAATAAGGCCTCTCTGTTCAGCCGTAATATGACAGATATCGTCAAACTGGAATGCGTTTATATAGTAAAAATGTAAACTCATAGATACGGAAGTTACAAGTTAACAGGGGCTAGTTAAATAATCTTAGAAATGGTTACCTTGGTATCATTTGTGTTTAGTACAGCACATTTATGATTTTCCCGGAAAAGCGTAAATCTCAGGTGAAATATATAAATTGCTTTAATTTTTTCAACTATGAGCGAAATGAGAACGCGTTGAAGAAGTTTCTATTTCTAAATAAATTAACTAAATACTTCGGAACTTTTTAAAATTTTATGGTTCTTCAATGCTAAGAAAATAGTTAAAAGTGATGGCTTGTCGATTATTTCGTCAAAGTTTCCTTAACATTTCGTTATTCAACCATAAACTGACATTATCAAAGCTATCCTTACCACCAATCCATTTATTTATTGCCTAAGAAGCCAACGAAAGAAAAGAAGAGTTTTGAAAAACTCAACTCTTTATTTTTTTTGAATAAACTGGTCTAAAATAAAAACCGAGGAAAACAAAATAACAAAAGGCAGCAACAAAGAAGTGGAGAACTATACTACACAGTCAATGTACCAATAAACAAAGTGAAGAAATTCCAACTGTTCTGAGCCACAATGGGAGGCTAAATGTAAACGCTGTAAGAAAAACGTAAGAAATAGGACAGATGTTGCAATAAATAAATAAATACCTGTTAACCCAGGGAGAGCTATAGAATATATGATGAGTATAAGAATGAATTGAATGAAACTTGTTTGATTGAGTATAGAAAATGTTTTCAAAAGCGGATGTATATTTCGAACCCTAAGTCCTTGCAAGTTCTTTGATCGAGCTTCTTCGAATATTACTACTATGATATCTGTTTGATTAAATGGTTCATAATCGCAACTCCGCTTCCTTTTCAAAAACAAAAAAAAAAAAAAATGGTTTTCTACAATTTTTGAAGTGTGTTTTGAGTAAATATTTCAACTGTAAGATATTTTTTCCCTTTGCAAAGTAAAAGTAAAGGCTTAGTAAACTACTCAAAAGTAACCGATTGTCGAAAATGTTTCAACAATGCAAGAAAGATCTATATTGAAAACAATAATTTCGCAAATATTCTTGTGACTATCGTCGATTCGCCAAGTGTTAGATAGTAGCGATTCGAACACACTATTTGGTTATCATAAAGCTGGAGACAATTTGAAATAGAGTAATAGAGCTAAAACTGTTTATGTGTCAGTAAAGGTGAATCACTAGTGGGTGGTTTTTCCATTGAATTTTCGGCGCCATTTTCGAATTTAATCATTTAGTGCTTCGCGTGCCACTTTCGGTTAATGCCGGCCGAAGTTGCCCATCTAAACTGGCTTGCATTGGTTGGCCGGCTGCAATCTCGCGCCGTTATTGTCTAGGCTATATTATAACAATGCCATTTGCAAAAGTACTAAACACCCACACTTTGGCACCGTCAGCCCAACTGTTGCACCCTGTAATGCCAGCTAAGCGCTTTCTAAAATGAGAACTTCAGCCAAAGTGCCTAAGCCAAAAAATGAAACGTTGTATTAATTGYTGTTGTTGCTGTTAGCATTGTCGGCACCATTTCAGGCTTCAGCGCTGGGGACGGCTTTTCCAGCGACGTGCGCCCTAAGTCCATTCCCTCATGCCGCCGAAGGTCTGTTCCATTGGTAGGTCGACTGGTCGGTCGACTTGCCCAAGAATGCCTTAGTCAGCTCAAGCTAAGCCAAGTTGTGTTGTTGCCTTGTCTGGTATGTCGGCTTCTGCGTCACACAGCCAAGTGCTGCTACGGGCAAAAGCAACGCGAATAACTTTCAACAGTTAATGCATACAAACATACATGTTTCTGTGTGTGTGGCATATGTGAAACGTGTTGTGCGCTGCAGGCATGCACAAAATACACAAACAAATTGGCACAAACGTATGCGTCTATGCCGTTGATATGTCTGTCTGCCTGTCTGTGCTGGGGTTCGTCCACCCCGCGTTCGTTCGCGTTGCGATTTTATAGCTCAACGGACTCACATGCCGCCAGCATGCGCTTAGGCTTTTGAACTTTTCGTTGCTGTTGTGGTCGGCTCACATGCCTGCCTTTTACATACGTATACATATGTATATGTGTGCATATATATTCTGTAGATATGTTTAGCAAAATATACTAAACACTGCAAATGTGCATATGCGCATATAATTACAAAAACAAATGCCTGCATGTATACACATATCTGTGTGTGTTTGTGTGTGTCAGCATTTGTGCTTCTGTGTCTATACGTCCGCCGGTGTGCCGTGTGTTTGGGTGCCGGCCGACCATAACCTAACGCAACTTTACAACTTCAACACTCGAGCTTTTACGATTGTTGTGCATTTTGCGGCATTTGGTGGCAAGCAAAAAAAAAAAAAAAAGAAAAAAGAAAGAATAAATAAATAAAAAATAATAATGCCAAACGATTAAAAGTGCATTTTTATTGTTTTGTGAATTTTTGTTTTTCTTTTGTTGTTGTCTGGTTTTTTATTTAGTTCATATTTGCCATAATTTGGCTGTTCATTATTTGTATGCGATTCCTTTTAGTCGCTTGTGAATCGCCGTGGGCGTTAATTTGAAGTGTCTACACATACAGACATACGCACATACTCTCATACACACATACACTCATACTACATGTAAAATCACAATAAAAAGATGTTGACACACATTTTTACACACACACATTCGAGCGCTTAGCATATTTTAAGGCGATTAAGCAGGTGTTTCCCTCAAATAAATTATGCTTATTTAATTATGAAAAAAAAAAATTAAAAAAAATAAAATAAACTGAATAGGTCTTTGCAAGCATTAAAGAAATTATAGATTTATATATGTGATCATTAACATTTTAATGAGATTTAAATAAGGGGATGCTTAAACTTTAGGTTAAGTGTCATCATGCCAAGGCATGGCATTAAGGCGTACTAATAAATTTTAATACATAAGACTGCTGATAAAAACAAGTAAGGTAGAACTTAACTCTCCAACACCAGTAAAGAAGAAGAAGRAAAATAATAAGAAGAAGGAAGAACCAAGTTCGGGTGTGGCGTAGCCGAACATCAAAACCGGGTTAATGCTTCCCGAATTTTAATAATATATTTGACAGGTTGACCTTAGGTTAGATTCGCTTAGGTTACATCGATGCTAAAAGGGTCTCACTTGGGCAGCTAAGAGCACCGATCCGTTGGTTCCTAAAAAACTCCTATATACTGGCTCGTAAGACCATTATAATCCGACAAATCGCTTCGAGCTTCCTATAAATGAGTTGAGACAAGTAATAGCAGTTTCGACTATATCTTTTGTTTTCCTGAAGATAACACTAATCGATATTTTCCAATCTTTGTGCTGCAAAGGCAGGACAATGGTCGAGAAAACTTGGTATTCTTTATCGGAAAAAATCGCAATACTAACTAAAGTTCACATATTCATTATCTGTCATCTTAAACAGTTGTAGTCCGATTTTAAAAAAATTATCCAACTTTGATGCACTATTCGTACAAAGTTATGGGCAGATATAATCCTTTATGCTTGATTTGTGTGCTGAAAAGTGAAATAATCAGTTGAAAATTCTGTTATATGGAGAGTAGGCGTTGATGGAAATGTTCGAGTAGAGATATGTAATTTCCTCTAAAGTTGGGTGGTAAGATTATGTCATAGCTCCTTTATAACACTATCCTACCATTTCGGGTGTAAATTTGCTTTAGACGCATTTATTTTTTGAGTGATCGCTCTTTCTTTAGTTTTGGTTATAAGGGCAATGGGCTTAATTATATTCCGATTTAATCGATTTTGACACTGTTCGTGTGGATAGTAAACATATTTGTTTTGAGAAATTTTGATTTGACTTAGATGATTTGGGAGATTTGTATGAAACTTATTTAAGGGAGGAGTCACACCCACTTTTTAAAAACTTTAAAAATCGCTCTCCGTCTCGGAGGGAATTGATGTAGGAGTCACAGCACCATGCACCAAACTCTCCATACTTTTGCTGAACAAGCACTTATACAACATGGGCCTAGCTTCTTGAGTAAATTGCGCTTCTGTGACAATGAGCCTGAAACACCAGAACACCTGCTAATTGAGTGCATATCAGTCTGCAGATACAGGATAAAGGCCTTGAATCCATATTTCCAAACAGCGATCACATCGCTTCACTACCATCTGGCAGTTTATGTCTTGGGCTTTATCAATATGCTGGGGGCAGGTGAGTTTTTGTGACTTAGGAGAGAACACAATACACCTAAGGTTGCGGCGTATTCCTTGTTTATCTATCTAAGTAATTGTCGAACGATTTAGACGATTTTCGAACTGTGTTAAATTACCGGCGCCAAGTTTCATGGTAAAGATAAAATGGTAATTAGCCGACATTTAGTCCATATTTGAATTTTTGAGCGGGCCCAATGTAAATCTAACTCATGAGTTTCTGGAATTATTTATTGAGAATTATTGTAATATTGTAATCCAATTAATACTGTTACATAAGCGGCAGACGCGGTTAGTACACAACTTTGTGCTTATTGAAGAAAAAGTTATAGATTTTTACTTTGAAATTGGTCAAAGTGATTTCTTATGAACAAAAGTAGTTGAAGACTAAATTTTTTTTTTATAAAATATTGTTATAATTCGTAGCCAAAAATGTATGGCTTATAGCATTCGGTTATTGAGAAATAGTATATCTATAATATGGTATATCATTTACTTGAAATAAATTTTAATTGAAACTTTTTATCTACTTTCTTTTTATTTACAGCAAAACAAAAAGCGGAAGACATTAATGAGGTATGTTAATATATTGTCTTTTGATCTAAAAAAAATCTATTTTTGTGCTAATGAATTGTGTTGAGTATAGGTTTAGGCAGTCTTGGTGTTTTTGATGTTCATTTCGCAAGCTAATTTGAGTTGGAGCTAAATTGACCAACAATTAGAGAAATTATTGGGATTTTTGTAAACAAAGCTGAAAGTAAAGTGTAACCTTATATTGTTTTGTTTTTAATAACATTTAAACATCTACCCGACTTACAAAAGAAATTTCGGTAACCCTTTGGAGAAATTACCAAAAACAATTTTTTTAAAATCAATTTAAATATTTAAACTTAAATGCTTGTCGCTGCTGATTTGAAATGTTTTGTTTTTTTATAACCCCCTTATTAGGAAAAATTCTGGATATACCTGCAAATGTTGCGAAGTCAAGCATTTTCTCATAATATTTATGTATAGACACCAATGCCCTAATGTCTCTTACATAACACAAATAAATAATATCACTTAATGGCAATCTTTCCATTTGCCATTTGCACATCCACACACACAAACAAAGCATACAGACATAAATGCAGATAATTAAGATGCCAAACGATGCAACGAGGCAAAATAAATTATTGAACAATGCAAAAGGCAGACGACATCAGTAGTGGCAAGATAATGGCAGCCAAGCAGATAGACAGATTGCCAGTTGCAAAAACATGAAGGCAGGCGAAAGCCGATACACACACACACACCACATGCAACTGGAATGCACGAGCGGCGGTGCGACGCAAGGCAGAGCCAATCGTTTATTCATACACACAACTGTGGACGAGGGGGCAGCATTTTGCGCAGAGCTGGCTAAGGTAGCCAGATATGAAGAGTACACAGCAAAGTGATGATAATTTTTCTTTTTGTTAAATAAATAATGAATAAATAAGTCAGCATAAAAGCACAAGCTGCCGATAGGCGCAACTTTTGCTCACATTTATACAAATAAAAACAAACAAGCACAAAACAAAAAAAATGCAAAAACAAAAATAAAAGTATGGTATATAAAAAGAAATGTGCTCGCCCGATAAGATGCAAATATATGTGAATGAGAACGCTGCTGAATAATGAGACGAACGGCGAAGACGGAAGCGCATTCAAGGGAAGCAATGTAGTGCAGTCACATGCATACGAGTGTTTTTGCAAAAATATGCTGCAGAACAAGCTTATGAGAGATAAAAAAGCATATATGTAAGTATATACATATATATGCATCAGTATCACCACCCACAAGCGTCAGATTGCATTTCCGGCAACTCGTTTTTAGCAATTGCTGCTGCTGCCACTTGAACTTGCCAATTATATTTGAATAAGAAATTAAAAATGAGTGGAAAAAACAATATAAAAAAGGAATAAATTAAAATATTTTCTTATAACTGCCACATGTTCAGTGAAGGAAATGATATTGCCATTAAATACTTATTGAGTCAGTGGTTAATTTAGTATAAAGTGAAATTAAAAGAAAAAGAAAAAATTTATTGCAAAGAAGAGAAAATTTATTTTTTTAGGGGCCATTTCACGCCATAACACCTTACACGATCATCTAAAGTCAAAAATACGTGTTTTAGTTAAATCCTTTACTTAGAATTTGGAAGAAGAAAACTGAAATTCGGACATTTAAAAAAAAAAAAATTTAAATTTCAGTGAAAATTTCGCGATTTTTTTTTTTTCAAATGGTTGTAATCGAAAAAGCCTTTAAGAATTGTATCTCAAAGACCTCTGTAAATTTTCATGAAGATGGTGAGTAGTCCTGAGAAATCTTGTCAACCGACTTCGAAACACAGTTCCAGCAAAAACGTGTTTAAAAACGGCGCACTTAGCCTAGCTAGCCCCCAGCGCACAAGTTCTCAATGCTGTATCTCTGAAACTGTTACTCGGATCAATTTGAAAATTTAGCACAATCTTCCCGAGGTGTTGTAGGGTTAGATAAGACAATAAAAATTGTCGATTTTTTTAAACCCGTAAACCCATCTAACCTCTTAATATAATATAAATGAGTATAGGTAAGAATCGAAGAACTAGTCGATATTTTTATGTTTGACAAATGGCCGGCTTAACAAACAAAGTCATGTTCTGTGGAGAAATTCACCCTTCAGTATGATATGAAAAGTTGAAAGCAGTGACAAATATACTATGCCTTCGATCATTACCTGAAATAAATCTTAACTATAGATATCTATATAGGTCGTATGAAAAATTTAAGGCGATGGGTACAGCCGTTTGCGAAAAGTTTTCCTCTGCGATCTTGAAAACGGTGTTTAGAGTCTTGGGAGCTCATTACATTGTATAAAAAAATTTTATAAATAAATTAATGTTTCCAAAACTTTCTGCCGGATAAACATCAAGTTTGTAAAACATTGTCAAATATAAATACATTCAAGATCTGTAAAAAAATCGATTATTTCTAATCAAAAATGAATGACTTTGAGATTGGATTTGGGTATACCTCCGTATAAAATTGTTCCCACACAAGAGCTGAAACCATTGATCCACCGTAAATATCGTGAATTTGGTGATTATGTCTTGGAACAACTTGAAAACGGTTTTCATGATTTTTTTAAAGAAATTTTTTAAGAAAAGTCAATGCACTCCAAGAAATTATGTTTAAATACCATTGGACTATTTTTTTGTCGGATTATTTGAAATCCTTGGTCTCTAGTAATAAACTAGACTATTTTTAAGTATTAAAAGCCAATATTCAAATGCTATTCATGATATATGCCTTGATTTAGTGCAAAAAGTACAAGAAAATTGAGTTAAACAAATTGGTTCCCGCAAAAAAAATTGTGGAGGGTATTTGAATGAAGTTTCATTCAGAACTTTATTGTGCCTATTGTAGTTCACATTAAATAAAAGCATTTGAATTTTCTTAACTGCCAATGTGGTTTTGTGAAAAGAAATGATTTCACTCTTATTTAAAAATCCCTTATATAACATATCAACGAATAATTAAATATTATACTATGTAACAATAGAGTATAAAGGGATCTCAATAAACTTGCTCATGATATTTTTAAGGTTTTTCGAAAGTAAGTTTTTAGGGAAAGACTTTTTTAATTATATTTATTTTGTACGGAGACTTCTAAAGGCATTACCGTAATACCTGGATCAATCAAAACATGTCTTAAAGTATCTCGGGCTAGAATCAATAAGTTTATCAAACTTATTACAAAATTTCGAAATATTTGTTATGCTTATTCTATACAAATTTACTTTTAAAAGTAAGAAAATGAATTAATGGTCTTGAAATTCAAATCCAGGATTCCTTTAAGGGGATGATTAGTTAAAATATAGTTTCGATTCCACTGTAAGAAAAGATATTAGTATCACTTACACATTAAGAGTGTAATATAACAGTATGGCAAAACCAAACTTTTGGACAAATCGCGATTTACTTCTCAGCATAACCTTCTTGATGCTTTTTAAAAGCAACAACAAGTAACAAGTTCAAATCTGGAGAATACGCTGGATGGGCCAGCAGTAGCCTAGTTCAACCAATCTGCCATAGAAACGAAGAAATATGAGCCGAAGATTGCCTTTTTTGCCATGCAAAAAGTGACCACTTTTATACAGTTCGGCTTATAAGCAGCACAATGAATCGGCATCACACAAAACTTGCGGTTGTTTTACTCTTTCCAAACTCATTTCTGAGTGATATGATGGTATTCACGTTCTTCGAAACAAGTTGGCCGACTATGTCTATTGTTTTGACTGTTTCTTGGATTCTGTTCATCGATATATATTAAACAGTTCAGTACCCTTCCCACGACAATTGGGTCAAAATAATCGGAACGAATACGGATTTTTAACCGGTCAAAGACTGACAACTCGGAAGTATTCCTTAAAACTATTTCAGGAATACTTTTTGCCACCACAACAGCAGGAACCATAACAAAACTTTGGATTTCCTACGACTCGCGCTTAAATGAAGTCGAACACCATCACAACAACACCAAAAACTTACAATTTCCTTCTAAACGCGTTCAAATAGCGTCAAACACCGCTGTGAAGCGTTCCCACGGTAGCGCTTATTATTCGGAGTGAGCAAAGGCGCATTTCTTCACGCCGATAGTTCTCTCGCGGCCAATATTTCATGCACGACATGACACATATAGCTTTTGGAGATGCCTACTGCCTTAGCTATACCTAACCATTTGATCTATTCGAGCATGGCTACTAGCTCTTTACGCTATTTTCCACTTTAGCTGCTATTATACTCTAATTTTTTTGCAAATTGCTCATGGCTGCGAAAAATTATGACAAGACATTTATTAACATATTGTGGACCATAAAAATCTCAAAGGCGTTCACGTAATTAGTAGTATTAGAGTAGCAGCTACATTGTAAACAAGAGTCATCTACACAACACTCATACAGCACCATACACCGTAGGGATTATGTACCCGTGGAGTTGCGCCATTTATTACGGTGAAGCGTCAAATTAAGCTCAACTGAGATAGGCAAGTGTTGGGAGGATAGTCAAAGGCTCATGCTCCAGCGCACAACTATTAGCAGTGCCACATTTACAACGCACCGCAAAGCCAACCATTAGTAGGCAATCGAAGCTACTTAGCCGAGAAACGCATGCCGATGCAGCCGGGCGCGGTGCACGCAGCACTATGTACCCTTGAGCAAAGGCTGCGATAACAAAAGTTCTATATGTGTACATATAGATAGATTTTTATATATTTATATGTGTATGTGTGTGCATTAAGCAAAAATAACAACACAAAAGGTGGGGAGAAACAAACGTCGGCAGAAATAAACAAAGGTGATTGCAAGCTTGCGAATATAAACGTTGCTTATAATTGCTATACATGTGTGTGTGTGTGTGTAAATATTATTTCTATGTAAATATGTGTGGATGTGGTAGTGCAGATGCACTAGAATTTCAGCGTGCGTGTGTGAATGAGCGCTTTTCGTTGTCACTGTGTGGCGGGGAAGTGCCAACTTTTTCACAAACACATACATATATGCAAAGTGTA